CTTCACAGACCGGGTTAACCAGGACTCCTTCACAGACAAGGTTGACAAAGACCCAGTTCCCTGAATTAAACCTGAATACATTCCATCCCCCCCACAGGCGTTGTATAATCCAGGACCCCTTCGCAGACTGGGTTAACCAGGACCCCTTCACAGGCCGGGTTAACCAGGACCCCTTCACAGACCGGGTTAACCAGGACCCCTTCGCAGACTGGGTTAACCAGGACCCCTTCACAGACCGGTTTAACCAATACCTCTTCACAGACCGGAAAGACAATCCTAAGAACACACAGATGTTACAGGCATTACAAACTAACATGAAGATCCATCTTTATATAGCCAGTACAATCAATGTGACCTATCTCCAGTGAGGCCCAATCCCTGTGCCCGTTATGTACCTCTGTAATCCTTTACCTGTCGCTCACAGCATGGCTATGTAGCGGATAACAAAGCTATCAGAGAAAAATATCATGGGCGTTATACACCGCATGGACAATGGGAGGTAATCAGATGGAATTTGAGGAACGGGAAAGGTAGCTCGCAACTTCTTGGATCAAGAGCCCTTTACCAGCATCAAGGCATCTCCTTAGAAGGAATTAGAAAGTCGAGTATTTTTACTTCAATGGCTGAGACAAGTAGATCACTTGCTGCTGCATTGTTATGCAGGCGCTGCAAAGGCAGAATGTCAACGTGTGGGTGAATGTTTAAGCCAGTGTGGGTCATTCAGTCCCAGGAGGAGTGTAGGCTCGAACCTCCGTCCACTTCTACCCAGATAAGCTACCTGGCTATACCCAATGATTAGCGTATTTTAACAACAATAATAATAATATACAGAACTGAGGCAATGCTAAAGTGTCTGAACGGATAGTTTTGGAATAATAATAATAATAATAATAATAATAATAATAATAATAATATATTTCTACAAGTACACATATACAAAGTAAACAGGCCTAGCTGATATCAAATTAGGTCAATTTTGTCCTAGGATGCAACCCACACCAGTCAACTAACACTCAGGTACCCATTTTACTGATGGATAAACAAAGACAAGTGTAAGAAAACACGCCCAATGTTTCCACCCTTGCCGGGAAATGAACCATGGATCCTCAGCGTGTGAAACGAGAGCTTTGCCTACCAGGCCACGGACCACTCAAATAAAGCAATTATATAAAGGTCTGAGAAAAACACAGGTGGCCGCAGGAGACGTACATGGAGAGAGATGGAGACACACAAAAAGATGACAGATGTACAAGAGGAAGATAAACTAATTTAGGAGCTGCGTAGGTCAGCTTCCAGTGGTCAGTAAGTGTACCCGGAAGTAACGCAGTTCAGCAGGCTGCAGTACACTATAGCTAGCGCGCAGCCAACGATATACACCATTGAGTGTATGTCTCAATGCATATACAGGGTGTTTCAAAAAGATGGACCCAACCGGTATGGCCTCATGATTAAACATCGCCTTAACAGAGAGCTTGTACATAGAGAGTTTACCTTAATCCCTGTTTTAGGGATTAAGGACTGGTAGTGACCAGGCAATATGCAGCCTTAATAACCATCGTTTGTTAATAAGCTTTAAGCCCAATTAACCAGTGCAGAACAGTTGAACAGTTTCTTTCCTAAATTAATATTAGTATGTGCTAAATAAGACGAAGTTGTAACTTGTTACTTTACTCTTAAAAATAATACGCAGTTTTATGGAAGATTATTATAGGTTTTATTGCAGGTACATGTTCCACGCCAGCAAGTGTCAGTAAGATTCAGAGAATAGCGTAGTGACAGATAATCAAATAGAATAAAAGCTAACGACTATGTAATGTTCATTAAGATTGCAATAGTCATGAAGATATGTAATGGACGTGAAGGTTGTACACTAGTGAGATTAGCAGTGTATCGGTCTGTATCCTATAGACTAGGCTATTCTCGCTAAGGCTCCTAACCTATACATCACCAGCCAAGAATATATTTTATAGGGTACCAAGATAGATTAAGGTTTGTGAATAACTAAATGGTTATAATCATAACCATAATTTTTAAAGGGGGTGGAGGGGCAAACCAGCGGAAGGTCTCGGTCAGATGACCAAAAGCTCCAGTGGCGGGTCATCATATGACTAAGACTCACGTCAGGGTCTTAGTCATACGATGACCCGCCTGTTTCCTGACAAACCTTACCTATTAAAGTTTGTACATAATACACTGAGAGATGAGCACCTCTCGATGTATATACACTGACCTCTACACCTCTGAATATATATACCCTTGTCGATGTATATACCGTTATTTACTGCTGTGAAACGGCCTAATGTGGTGCTGTAAACTGCAACTATATTACTGCTGTGAACTACATCTCATTTACTGCTGTAAGCTGCACTTCATTATCTGCTGTAAGCTGCACTTCATTTACTGCTGTAAGCTGCACTTCATTTACTGCTGTAAGCTGCACTTCATTTACTGCTGTAAGCTGCACTTCATTTACTGCTGTAAGCTGCACTTCATTTACTGCTGTAAGCTGCACTTCATTTACTGTTGTAAGCTGCACTTCATTTACTGCTGTAAGCTGCACTTCATTTACTGCTGTAAGCTGCACTTCATTTACTGCTGTAAGCTGCACTTCATTTACTGCTGTAAGCTGCACTTCATTTACTGCTGTAAGCTGCACTTCATTTACTGCTGTAAGCTGCACTTCATTTACTGCTGTAAGCTGCACTTCATTTACTGCTGTAAGCTGCACTTCATTATCTGCTGTAAGCTGCACTTCATTTACTGCTGTAAGCTGCACTTCATTTACTGATGTAAGCTGCACTTCATTTACTGCTGTAAGCTGCACTTCATTTACTGTTGTAAACGTAATACCTTATTACTATTTTAATTATTATATTTACAAAAAAAACATAAAAGTGTAAAGTGAACTTCCTGCGTGAATATTTCCGTACAGTGAAAACTGTAATTTACAGTTATGCCATCAAAATATTTAATTTGTGTTCACTGTGTCAAATTTCTTCACCCAGCTCAAGATTATTTATTCAGGTTATAGTTGAGAAAGCCAGATCAAGCAGGCTGTTTCCTCTAGGTGGTTGCATGACATGTGGCTTTCAAGAAGCAGTTTTGGATTACCTAAAAATAAGTCGCAAGACTAGATTTCTTGCCGTGGTTGGTTAATGGGGTCTAAAGCTTATCGATTAAACAAGAATCATTAAGGCTCCATGTAACCTGTTCACAAGTCAAGAATAAATGAATGCCTTAAAAGTCAATTAAAGTACCCTTTCAGTGTATGTACATCCATGGAAAAGCTTATATGTCTCGGTGTATGGTTTTCGCCCTGTCGTAGTATTATACTCAGTTTGGCTGCAATTAAAATGCTTCGTGATTACATTTTCATGATTTTAAACCTCTACAATTCCGTGATTCCAATTTCGTGCTGAAGATGATTATCGATAAATTTTTTCACAGTGATTCCTGGCCACCTGTAACGATGTTTTCAACTGCTGCACCTCTCTTCTGGCTCCAGCATGTGTTTATCCTAATGCCTCTGCATCAGACTGATCTAGGCTAAGGGGCCGAACACCTATCAAATGAAATTCAAAATTTTATTTCTGTGTGCAGTATACAAACTGTAGTTTACATGTAATACAGTATTGTTAAGCACAAAGAAAGTCACCAACATGCATGAGTTTCGGGCAGACTCCAAGGCTGAGGGACTCCACTCATTTTCCACATCTCTCTACTGACTGAAAAAAGGGCACCGGTTGGTAAAACATCGTAGTACAGATACCCAGGTGTTGATCATATGCCTCTTCACTAAAAATAGATTCTGTATGTTCCTTCAGCTTTCATATTTTGCATAATGGAGGAAAAAATAGAAAACGCTAAACTTGTGTCATTCATTGCATAACTCTTCATCAGCCGCCTGAGGCCTTCAGTTGGATCGAAAATATTCGCATTATTTCTGTACTGTTGATGTTATATATATATATAATATATATATATATTTATATATATATATATATATATATATATATATATATATATATATATATATATATATATATATGGGTCATAGAACGTCTGGGACACGGGAGATAATTAGGTTTGATTCAAATCTTTATTTAGGTTTTGCCTAAATAATACATATATACAAAAAATTACAAGTCTTAAGTGCGCACAAAACGTACATTACGTAGATTTAACCTATGTTAACCTTGGCTAAACCTATGTAGATTTAAACCAAGGAAGGAGTGAGTACCACCAAATCAGATAATCATGAGCCCTTCACAGTATCAAGAACCCCTAGCCCTTCATCCCTTCAGGGTATGACTTGTGAAAATTTGCAATTAGAAAAGGTCATTCTAGTCGGGTCTTCGCAGGTGGCCCGCCACAGTGGGGTCTTGATGAACAGGTTTACCGTGGTCCTCATGACAAAGGCTGGTGTATCTCAAGGATGCATTGTCTCTCTGTCTCTCCTTCCCTGTGGTGGTGAATGCTAAGTGTTACGTATGATCCTCCGCGTCCACTGCAGCCCTGCAGGTTACTGACAATAGGAACATGTGGCCAGAAGTAACTATGTTTTCTGCTACGGCAATGACACCATTTTCCCCATTTCCCACATGACATCCCAACGAACATTCAGGCTTTGATACACATTTCAGTGGGGTTGAAACTTAGTATGTATCGATCACCTCAAATGAATGATGTTTTGACAAACAGCAATTGGCTTTGTTTATAATATAAAACCGGTCTGGGAATAAGTGTAAGTTCTCGTACATCGGGTCAGCGCCTTGTTACCTGTTGGTTGCTGACTTTTCTTATTCTTTCGTCTTCAGGCTCCACCATGCATGGTCAACTACATTTTCAGGTCATAAAATGTAGAGAAGTTATGAGCCATTATAGTCTTAAATTATTTACATTTAGCCCAAGCACTAGAATGTGTAATTCCCCGGAAGCAACTTTGCACTAGCTGGCACCCTCACGCCCTCAATGGAAACGGCAACTATTACATTATAGTTATATATATGTTATGAGTACGGTCTTTACCTGATCACTAACGTATACTCCAGATATGCTGAAACATAAATGCACCAGCATAGAAACAAACGATATATTGTTGCCACAGGAGCCTAAGGAATATTTATGAAGGATTCTAGGTTAGGAATGGAGTTTGTGCCTCACGTTTTGGTTGCAACTCAGGGAGTGGCGGACCTCTCTCTCCACACACAAGTTTCTCCTAGTCAGTGACGGACTGGGGTCCCTCGGGCCCTACCATGTGCCGGGAAACGGACCCAAGTGCTGGCATCTATGATTAGTTACTCCTGTACATTACTGAAATTATGTGTGTATTCCGTGTGGCTTGGCTCAACCAGTAAACTATGTGTATGCAATTTACTCTTTTGTGAGTAGAATACTGTGTGAGATGCGTGTAGAGTTCCAGTTTTTATTCGCCTGTGATGTTACTTGAAATCCGGTACCTTATGTTGTGAAATCAGTACTACACAAGACACGAGAGGGGTTAAATATAAAATATTCTTTCTCACAAGTACAAACCAGGGAGGTGAAATCGGTTCTCAACCAGGATTTACCACACCAATACTTAGCCCACGGGTTTCTGATACGAGCTTACTGGTGGCGGTAAATTTGCAAGAAAACTATACAGCATGAAGTGAGTAACCACTGCACGCTAAGGGAACACCGGTATTCTGCCTCGAGCAATGTAGCTATAACAGCCTAGGCTGCCATCACTGTTACTGACCAGTCTTGCACTAGGCAACAAGACGGTGACTTCCATTACTGTACAGTGGAATCATGGCAGTGAAACGCAAAGTCTCAAGGAAATACTTAATGTAGTTCCACTTTAAGCTACCGATATTAAATTGTATTGTTGTCCAAACTGTGAGAATCGCGCTCACCCTGGGGGAAATCCTCTTTCAAAATTTTGTGGTGCATTATCTCTAACTAGCAAGTCATAATAAACTCTTGTGATATCGGAAAGCAACCTTGAAAATAGTTGGCGCACATGACACGGTGTTGTTAAATCACTCGTATTTTAGCTTGTATAAACACCAGTCACTGCAAAAATATATCCGTCATTTAAGCAGATTTAAACTTTATTAGCACACAATATCGATCAGAAGAAGCCTTATATCCAGCGGAAGTTTCACCAACGTCCACCTGATCAGGTAACAACTGCAAGTCATGTCTGTAACACAGGTTCACTACTGCAAACTGCAAAACTGCACCATCACTGTTGAGGTCTGCGGTATATGACTCAGCGCTTCTTCTGGGCTGAGAACGCCTCTAGGCGAGCTCCCACGCACCGCACACACGCACGCATGCACGCAACAGTATGCGACACGAATGCTGGTAACTAAAGTATATTTATTATTCCTTAAATAAAGAAAACGTGAGACCAGGACTATAATTTTACAAGTAGGCAATTACACACACGGGTACACTCATGAGTACTGCTAAGTACACAAACTTGCATACATAAACACACCACTACAGGGGACAGAGGCTGCTGACCTCATTCAGAGGACCTGGGAGTAAGCATAATTCCTAGCATATCTCCAGAGACAACCAAATAACCTACGCAGCCAATACTCGCCTAGCAAATCTAAGAGTGGCCTTCAGGAATCTCAACAGTCATTCTGGGTGCTTTATACAACACATGTCAGGCCCATCTTGGAGTACGCAAAATCATTATGGAACCCACACCTGAGGAAGCATGATAAGAAACCGGAGAAAGTGCAAAGTATGCAACGAGAGTTAAGGGGGTATGAGCTACGAGGGAAGGCTAGAGAAATAAATCTAACGAACCTGGAGGACAGAAGGACCAGGGAATACACAACACAAAATACTCAAAGGAATCGATAGGGCGGACAGGGACAAGCTGTTTGAAAGGCGGGAAACAGGTACATGGGAGCACAGCTGTAAGCTAAAGACAAATGAATTACAGGGAAGTCAGAAAGTATTTCTTCTGTCTCAGGGTGGTCGGGAAGTAAAATGACCTCGATGAAGTGGTGGAGGCAAACTCCATACATAGTTTTAATAATATGTAATGATATGGCCCACAAGTCTAGGAGAAAGTGATTCTGAAAAGGGGCAGGTTGAGAAGCAGAGTCAAGAGCTAAGACCTGACCCCTGCACCCACATGCAGATGAGTACATAGGTAAGCATGCACGTGCGAACACACACACACACACACACACACACACACACACACACACCAAAATCATTAGAAACATGCACACCACACCCTTTTGTTTTTATGTTGGTGGTGTGTGCCTGAAGCTGTGCGGTTCATTCAACTCATGATCATGTGTAGAGGTGTGCTGCTGCTGCTGCAACTGTGACTGCTGCTGTTTTTTGCTAGGGTAATATATCGTACAGGCTGAACTAATGTATTCAGTGGTTCACTGAACTGTTTGCAGGTCACCTGAAGATTCACTCGCCCCCCCTCTAGGAATCGATTAACCAGTTATGTTGAAAATGCTATAAAATACCGACAAGTTGATAAGACATGCAACATTGTGTATCTTTATTGTTAAAACATTTCAACAGTTAAGATACCCAACTGTTGCACACGTCTCGCTCATTAACCAGAATTTACAAATTTTTCGACAGTTTAATTAACTTTCATTACTCCGAGCAAAGTTAAATTTGCTTGTTTAGTTATGGTGGCAAATTTTATCGTACCGCAAATTTGCATAACTTTTAGGTAGTGGTTTTTAACCTTTCAAGGCGGCGCATATTTTGGTGAGTGGACTTGTCGGTTTAGCGCTTTGTTTGATTATAATAATAATCTGGTGAGGGGAAAAGTCTTAGATACTGCTGTGTATATTGTGTTCTAACTCTTTGGAATTTGGCTATGGTTAATGTGATACACTAGCAAGTACCTGGGACTTTTTGTAATGCCGATAGTATTGAGGTCGGTTGTAGAGTGCGCCAACACGCATCTATAGTGTGGTACAGCGTTGGTTACGTTGCTTTAGCGTTGAGAATTGTTAAATACACAAGGGCCATTAAGCCTGCATTTCACTTGTACACCACCAGTCAGGGATGCTTTAATTCCTAAAATTGGGAAACAGCTGTGCGTTGGTGTGTGGTGGATAGACTAAAGGTGTGTGGGATAATTTATATGGGGAATGCCGGGGAGGCACGGATGATTAATTCTGGGAGGGCAGTGGATAGGTTGGTGGGTAGGTTAAATGTTTTGAGACCCTTGCATTTGACGATACATCAACGTGTAATAGTGGTGAATGTGATGTTATATAGTATGGTCTGGCATGTGGCAGCAGTATATCCGTTGGCAGGACCGGACATAACTAGAATGCTAAAAAAGGTTTTTCGATATATATGGGGTTCTGGGTGTGATTGGTTGGGTAGAAGTGTTGTTATGCTACCGGTCGACAAAGGTGGATTGGGTTTAATAGATAAAAGATTAAGGGTTTAAGTGTATATATTTGAAGAGGGGGTTTTCTCCGAGTGGAAGGTCGTGTGGGGAAGGGTGTTGCAAGCATTGTATGAGGAGGCACGAAGGTGGTGGGTAGGATCAGAGATGAGAGAGTGTGAGGATGTGCTGCGAGCTTTATTGTATGTTAGAGATCCGTCTAGGATACGGGTAGGTGTTTCTGGAGCGTGCTGTAGGGGTGAGGGTGATTGCAAATGTTGAGGGCATATACCCAATGTATGCATGGGGAGACATTTGGTAAGGTTGCGGTTGGTGCGCATAAGACCAAGAGTGAGAGAGGTAATGTTTCGTTTCCTTCATGGAATATTGCCGTCTGGTGTGGTGCTTCGGGGAGAGAGGGTTGATGGTGGAGGACGTATGTAGGGCGTGTGGGGATAGGGAGACAGCTTTTCATGTAGTATATTTTTGTAAAAATTTGGAGTGTATACGGGAGTGGATGGGTGGATTTTTGAGAAGGGTGGGTGGGGGAGGGATATCGGTATTAAGGGCATTGAGTTTAGATGTGGGAGGTGTGGAAGAGTCTGTGCAGCGTGCTTTGGTGTACATCATAACTGATTTTGTTTTCGTATCATGGGCCATGAGGGGTAATGGGGATTGGATGGTGCGAAAGAAGGTATTGGCTGCAACAATGTACAAAACACTTAGTCGTAATAGGGGGATATATGGAAGTAGATGGGAAAGGGTTTTTCCTGAAGGATATCGAAGTATGAATGTCAGAGGTTTGTTGGCGGAGTGAGGGAAAAAAAAAAGGGGGGGGGATGTGTTTGGATTTTCAGGGGTTGCACCGGGCTCGTCTCAAATTTGGAATGTATGAGGTGTTCCATGATATGGTGTGAAAATGGCAGCGTAGTTGTGGAGTGTGTTTTAAGTAAGTTTGTGGTGGTTTGTAAGGGAAAAGTTGTTAAGATTTTTATGGACATGGAAATGAGCAATATCTGTGTGAATGTGAATAGTATACGGTCATACTCAGAATGGTATACTGCTGTATGTTATGGATAAGTTAAATTTGGAATATGTTGTAATGTATTATCAGGACTGGTGGTTGTATTAAAGTAAAGGACATAAGGGCGTGATAAATATGTCTGTGTACCAAATGTACTGCTAATAATGAGATAATGTAATGTGTGTGATTTTTATCATACATCAAGTGTATATAGCAGTATGTAAGAGAGAATTTCATGTACTCAGTATGGGTTGTATATTAGTATTCGGTGAAGTTCAATGAATATTATTGACGAGTGATGGGTATATAAGGACGTGTTCATGTACACTGTGTTAAGTAGTGTTCGGATGGTGAGGCAAGAAATGCTGCGGTCTGTAGAATAAGAATATAGTCTCGTTTAAGTTAATGTTTAATAGTAATGACTATGTATATTTCATTATATGGTAGAAGAAGTTTGTTACTTAAAACTGGAAATTATATTTGAAAAATATTACTAAATATACGTGATTGTGTAAGTTCGCTTGTAGGATGATGTAGTGTTTGTTCGTTTGTGGGATGAATGTAGTGTATTCGGAAGTGAGGTGGGACGAATCATTTGTTATATTGTACTGTGTTTAGTTTTTCTGTGGTGAGGTGTGGAGATTGTTATTTTCTAACCTTTATTTGTTTCGTAATTATTGAGGTGTTACGTATTATGTATTTGATATGAAGTTTAATATACAACAATAGTAAGTGTGTAAAGAATTTTTGGATAATTGAGAATGTCTTCGTACATACAGTTTTATGTAAAATGTCAATACCTGTGACATTCTTTGGGTTATATTGCATATTGTGTTTATGGCTGCAATTTTGGATGTACTAAACCCACCTGTATATGAAGCTGTGGGCTGTCTTTAGTTTAGTTCTTATGTATAAGTTTAGTGCTACGGTAGGGAATGTGGAGTTTTCTTTTGTTATATATAATGGATACGTTTCATTGCTTACATTGTCTACATGTATAACTATGTATTGCGTTTTTCAATAAAATATAAAAAAAAATTCCTAAAATTGGGATTAAAGAGAATTCTGGGCATTTAAACTAGGATATGCACACCTCTCGGTGTACATTTGTGATGGGTGTTGTAGCAGGGATTGTGTATTAGTTACGTTCTTTTTCTTTCAAGGCCTCTACTGTGTGATCAATTTATGTGAGGTTTATTTGGTATCACCTAAGGGATACCTCAAAGTGGTTTCCTAAAAAAAAAAAAATTTCCGAGGTTTTTGTTTATAACTTGTGAACTACTCATCCGATCAGCTTCAAATTTTTCAACGCTGGTGTAGTGCAACTTGGGAAAGATTTATGCGGTTATTGACATGTGTGATGCTCTCTGATTAATTTTATATGTCCCATTCCCTGATTTAGTTTCCGTGCTCTAATTTGAAAAAGCCTCTTCTGACCACTTTTATATTTTCAACACTGGTGTGTTACTGGATTGTTACTAGTGTGTAGGTGCCAATTTGACTATTTTCGTTTTAAAATAGTACAATTTTCGCTGAAAAGTATACTATTCACTATGCTTCTTCTGAACGGCTTCCATCTTTAATAGCTTCAATAGCTTTTAAGTTTCGGTTGTGTAGCAGCAAATTCGACAATTTACTAACATAACCATTGTGAAAAAATAGTGAAATTCCAAGTGCTTTCGTGTCTTCTCACATTATCAGGGAACTATAAAAATAAAGGTTAACATTAAGGAATATAAAGACGAGACTACACCTCTCTGCAACCCCCCAACAACACCTGACTTTTTATGATAATGTAAGTAGGTAGTCATCACCATAAAAAGTCAGGTGTTGTTGGGACGGGGGTTGACAGCGAGGTGTAGTTCTTGTCTTTATATTCATTCGTGTTAACATTTTATTTTTATAGTTCCCTGATAATGTGAGAAGTCACAAAAGTGCTTGGAATTT